AGGTTCCTTGTTGACTCTTCCTTTTGTCAACATTTTTGTAACCTTCATTAGAAAGTGGCTTGAAATTCCTCCGACTTTTACTTGTGTAGAGTGCTTCCTCTTCACTCTTTAGCGTGATGCCTCCCATTTGCCTAGCCATAGCTTATTGGATGGCCAACAAATTCTTAAACTCTACAAGTGATGGATAAACGGGCCATCCTTGTACAGTAGTAGTGAAGCTTCTATATTCCGGCTCAGTCCATGGATGATGATCCTCTTCATTCAAGCTTCTGTAATGACAGATAGCGGATCTAGTTCAGTAATCTCCCGACATATCGACTTGACCTTGTGGAAATATTGAGCAATCGTCATGTCACGTTGTCAGATTGATAATAGATCGTTCTCCAAAAGTTGTAGTCTCGTATCATTCTTCTTTGAGAATAGCATCACAAACGTCTCCTAAGCTTCTTTCAGCATGTTCTCATCCTGAATATGCTCTAACATCTCTTATTCGATTGTGTTCTTCAAGGCAAACATTGCTTTCCCTACTTTGATTTTTCATTTGCACAAAGCACCATTAACATCTTCCTCTGGTAGCGTAGTTTTGCTTCTGTCAACGACCTATGGTGGTTGTCAAGGCCAACAAAATTAATACCCTAAATCTTTTACACTAAAATAATGTATAGTGGTAAAGGGGTCGAATCCACGGAGATTGGTTCAATTTGTTACTCAATGAAAATCTCTTTGTAAAAATATTTGTTAAATAACAATAAAAATAAAAATGGGGGGTTTTGGCCTTTTGAAATACTTGAAATGAATTAAAACTAAACTAAGATTTAAATAGACAATTTAACAAAAACAAGATTTTGATGTAAAATAAATAAGGGAAAGATGGTTGACTTAAGGTTTCCTGTCACACACCCAAACCAGAACGGCGGAATCGTTCGAGGGTGGATGACTTCATGTAGTATCGTAACAATTGGATACATAGCAAAGGAAGTAAAACAACCATCATATATATATATATATATATATATATATATATATATATATATATATATATATATATAATTTAAAGCTACATTGTTAAATGATACTTGTTCAAAACAAATTACAATATGATGACAAAATAAGTTTTAAACTGATGACTTAGCGTCACTTCTCCAAAAGCTGAAGTGTACCTATATTACTGAATCCCTGAGAAATACAAGTAGTTTTGAAAGAGTGTTAACAGTTAAGTTGGTGAGTTCATAAGCGTTTATGTATAAAATTTGTAAGTTTGGTATAAATCACTGAGTTTACTTATGAAAAATCCAATATTTTTCCATGACTGTGTGGTAGTTTAAAAGTTCCAAAACTGTAATGCATTAGTAGTTGTCATGCCTAGAATAACAAATTTATGTATGTATAAATTACTAAGACATTTGATAACCCCGTAAATCATTGTCTTGTTAATACTTCATGTGAGTTTTATAACCATGCTATTAACCTAGGCTGCTTGTAACAATGTTCTTCAGGCGTTGGAATGTTATGATATTTGTCACCCCACATCTGCCGGTCTAACTATAGCTAACAGTTTACGTGCGGGATTGTCAATCCCGTATAGATCTATACACAATTATTATGCTCTCCCTACAAGAGATTATGGTATATACTACAGGTCTTTAACAGCATACTTGAAAGTACGTGAAGTTGAATGTCTCACAAAACTTGGTATCAAATAGATATACGTATGAAAAGTCCATTTGTTCTTGTATATGAAAGTATTTCCTTTATATAGTACTTATAGTATGTAAAATCTCATGATTTCCCTGTAAACTATACCTATTATAGTTTTTCCAAATGTGTGTTTTGTTGGTATGGAAAACCCTAGTGTAGTGTCGACTTTGTACGTAAATTATAACATTTGTAATAACATCATTGAACATTTATACTCAAAATATAAATCAAGTGTTTGATATTTATACAACAACATGTTTCATTTCAAAATGGACAAAGTGTTATCGTGATA